GGGATCTGAGAAAAATTTCACCCATGTGACAAGAAGTTTACTATGATGACCACCTTAGTTCAGGCTTAAGTTTACTGATACACTGTCCCACTGGCCTCGATACAGGTGACCTTAAAGTCCTACTGCAACCTCAAGGGAAGACAGAGACTGCTTCTGTACATCTCTTGTCATCTTTGCCTTTGTTCCCTTATAGACAACCCCACACTCAGAAGGGTCCATCTTGACCCGAAGACCGGTGTTCCATTCCCACTTGCTAGACAATCCTTTCTCCACATTCTACCTTCTACAGGCACAGGTCTCCTGGAGGAGCTCTTGTTGTCTTTGAGGAAATCAATATTTCCTCTTGTCAAATTGTACCCACCCTTTGAAATGTCTCTAGTTCCAAGAGAACTGGAATCGGATATGTCCCTTTTCTGGGTTATTGCTGTTGCAGACAGTGATAGATCAAAGGTCCAGATTTTCCAGTTATGGAGCTTTTAACAGGCCCAGGGAGAGGTATGTTTCAAGAGCACAATTCTGTCTTGTTGGTTGCTGTTGTTAAAGAATCCTGCTGCAGGGTTCTGTGGCCTCTGTAGCCTCAGTTCCCAGCAAACAGATAGGGTTAATGAGGAACAAGGATGTGGGTGGTCTGTGAAAGCAGCTTGGGAGAAGCTGATAGCCAAATACCAACAGTTTTAGCCCATGGGAGGAAGCCCTGGTGACCTGCCTTCATAAATAGCAAAACCTAGAAAACCTTATGGTGCAGGTCTGATCTGTCATGCCTGCGGTTACCATAAGTTAGCTTTAGTTTAATAAGAAGCAGAGCACTGTGGCTAATGGAGGCAGGGCCATCTAAGTTGGCTGGTGAGTACCCCACCCCCAAGTTTCTGCATAGTGACCAGGACCATGGTCTTTCTTGTGTATAAATTATATACACGTATGTCCCGCAGCCATTGATCACCCACATCCCTACACTCGTCTTTAAAGAGAAGGACATGAAATGACAAACCAGGAGTGAAAAGGGGTCTTAAACACCGCAAAGCAAAAGCAGGGCATGGATTCAGTTGCCTTTACAACAGCGTTTAAATAGGGAAGGAATGAAAACAAATGACAGAGTGAAAACACAGCACACCCAGGGTGGCTGGCTCCCCTTCGACCAGGAAAATAACCCCTAGGGACAGAATTTAAGTTTCAGGCCTGGGGAAAAGGCCATGTCTGAAAAGAGTTCTGTAGGGGAAAAGAGGGCTCACGTGTCTTGCAGAGTGTTGCTGGCCCCCAGCTGAAGGCAGAGAACCAGGAGCAGGGCAGATAGGAGCTGAAGTGAGTACATGTCAGTGGTGCTTGATGTCCACAGGAACTGTGCACACAGGGATTCAGATTCCTCCTTATAACTGTAGTAAGAGGACATTGGAGTTATTGGGCAAGTTCCTTCTGGCAAATCCATGATGCGCTGGGATTTTCCCTCATAGGTAGACAGCTTGTTTGTTTTCCTGTGAGAAAGGTCAACATCGAAGAGGAGTTTTGATTGGGGGTGGAGTGAGTAATGAGCTGGATTATGTCCCTAGTTTCTCAATATCAGATTAGATTAGGATCATGGACCACTGGACTGGATCATATCTTCACTTTTGTAGCAGGATTATTTCCTCTTCTGACTTATTCTTCTTAGTGCTCCTCTGTCTCAGTATGAAGAAAGACATTCATTTTCACTTTGCCCTCTGAATGACATGCTGTCTTATCTTCTTCACATCACTACAGCCTCGGCTATCCTATGTACCTTTGTTGAGTGGGTGCCTTGACACTAATATCTCTATAGAGTGTAGTTATATGATACTCCCCTTGAGTTTTGTGTCCTCTAAAAAGTATTGGCCTAAGAGTGTTGCAGAGTATGTATAATATGCATTTAAGCCACAGAAATAGAAATGCATCAGGGGAGAGAAGAGGAGACCTGTTTGGGGTGAGTATACACGGGTGTATTCCCATCCCACCCCCCTGAAAACAAAAAGCTCTAGTGGGTGGAGCTTTCATAGTGTGCATTTTTCCTGCTAGGTGAGCATTCAGAAAATCGCTGCAAGTTGGTGCACCTAGTGGCATCACCTGGGAAGTTTCTCTCTTTTTCTTAAAAGCACTTCACTTGAACCTCAATTTTTTGGTGATGGCTAATTTGTGAGAACAGCATGCATCTGTGAAATTCTGTTTCCAGCTCCAGAAAAATACTGCAGAAACTGTTGTGAAGTTGAACACAGTTTACAAAGACAGCATTCCAGAAAAAACTCAAGTGTATGATTGGTTTTCTCATTTCAGAAAAAGGTAAAAATGTCAATTGAAGACACAATTTATTCTGGATATCTCTCAACTTCCAGAAAGGATGTAAATGTCAACTCATGGTGCATTTGGAGTTTGTTCCACCAGGTCAGACTGTTAACCAAGCTTTCTATTTAGAGGATCTTAAAAGATAGCATAACAGTGTGTGACAAAAAGGGCTTATTTGTGGCAGATGGGGGACTGGTTTTGCCACCACAACATTGCACCTGCTTATGTAGCCATCTCAGTGCACCAGTTTTGTGCAAAAAATGCCTTATGCCATTCTTGCTCCAGGGACCTTATTCTTTGACCTTGCAACATGCAACTTCATTTTGTTTTCCCAAATGATGGAGGACATGAAAGGACAGTGATTTGATGATGTAGAAGAGGTGAAGAAAAAAAAAGAGGGAGGTGCTGTCAGCCATTCAAACAGAAGAGTTTGAAAAATGTTGTTAAGAATAGAATGGGGTCCAAGCTCAGTCCGGTGCCCTGTTCCATTGCTCTTGTGACCTGGGTCGCTCATCAAATCCCAACGGTCAAAATGGTGAAGCAGATTGATAGCAAGGAAGATTTTCAGGCTGCCCTGAACAATGCTGGAGAGAAGTTTGTAGTGGTTGACTTCTCACCCACATGGTGTGGGCCTTGCAAACGGACCAAGCCTTTCTGTCATTCCCTCTGTGAAAAGTATGGCAAAGTGGTTTTCCTTGAAGTTGATGTGGATGACTGTCAGGATGTTGCTTCAGAGTGTGAAGTCAAATGCATGCCAGCATTTCAGTTTTGTAAAAAGGGACATAGGGTGGGTGAATTCTCTGGTGCTAATAACGAAAAACTTGAAACTACCATTAATGAGTTAAGTTAATTATGCTTCCTGAAAACATAACCAGCCATCAGCTGTGTAAACCTTTTTGTATTTACAAAATAGAATCAGGTAGGAAGACTATTCACCTAATGACCATCTGATTATAAATGACAAAAATATATTAATTATACCCTTAAAAAATAATGGAATGGAACTTCTGTCAAGACAGTGACTGAGTAACACATACCAGAGGGACTCCACAGAAAATCAGCATAGGAAACCAACTGAGAGGGAAATTCCACACTGCCAGATCACAGCAGGAGCACCATAAAGATAAGAAGTACGGATCCACTATGTCTTGAGGAGCTGTGGGATTTTGGCTTATCACTGTGGAGGCTAGCTAAAGCTTAACCTTAGCCCCACCACACTCTCAGACAGAGTCAGGCTCCTTTGGCTAGCCCAAGCCTTTACTTCAAAACAGCCATAGCTTGCCACTGCCTCTGGGCAGGGTTTATACCCCTACAGGCCAAAGATCAGGTGATCGGGACTCAGTTATATCTTTATTGTGTTCCTCTCTCTTTTCTCTTATGCCCCACAGTCTCAGCGGTCTCAATTGTTTTCTCTTTGCTTTCCTCTCAGAGGGCACTGCTGACCTATAGGACTCTTTCCTTATCCTAGGACAATTTCACCCCCCATCACCCAGCTGGGAGAGCTCTATACTGTTCAGCTTAACACGAGACTGGGGAAAGCCCACTCACCTTCCTCACCAGGGGAACTCATGCCTATCCTCCAAGATCACTGGAGGAAATCCAGTCCACACTTTGGGGTGCTTCACTTGGTTGGGGAAACCTCTATCCATCATCCACAGCACTACACATGACTGGGGGAGCTCCTGCATGTCCTCTTCAGCCACATGGGGCTAAGAAAACTTCCTCCCACCTTCCAGAGTGCCTCACACAGCCTAAGGCAAATATACCAACACTCTACAGCACTCCACGCTGCTACATAAATCTCTGCTGAATGATGTGATGATTTAGCTGACTAGGGCAATTCCACACACCATCTGCGGTGCTCTACCCCAAAGCGGGCACACTGGCCTGGTCTCTGTGGCACTCTCTTGCAACAAGCACCCCTGCACGTTGTCTGCGGCACCCCAAGCTGCTGTGGTCAAAACCACTATGGTTTCCTGTGAGATAAACCAGTACACCATCCTAACAGATCCACAACCACCCAACCAGCATCCCAAGAGAGGACCATCCAACTGGCCCTCCAAATAACAATACCAGCTGGTTAGGGAAAGAGTGACACCACAGGAGGATATAGTGATAGCCTGACCCCACCGTGCAATTAGTGGCAGGCAGTCCAAAGAAGCATTCCTACGAGTCTCACAGAGAGCCCAGTACTCTTTGAATCTCTGGAAAATGGTGCTGGGCTCCACTAAAACAATTCAGCACAACAGTAATCAGCCCCTACAACCTCAATGAAAAAACAGGAGGAACAAAGGCAATATCAGAAGAAGTCCTTAACTTAATGACATGCATAGAAGCAGACACTGATATGCCACAGACACAAATCTTCAGAATGCTGCTCAGAGTCATGCAGGATATGAGGGAAGCAATATAGAAAAAGGATAAAGTGATAGAGGAGATAAAGACCAGACACCAAAGTGAAATACAAGAGCTAAGGGATGAGATAGCAAAAACCAGTAGCAAATTCACAACCGCCTGGAGGAGGCAGAGAACTCCACCAGGGACTTAGAGGACAGCCAAGCAGACTTTAATAAACATGAAAAAAAGGGAAATAAGATCATCAGAGAAGCTGAAGAAAACCTGAGAGCTACGCCTGATGCTGTGAAGAGGAACAACATCAGAATAATTGGAATACCGGAGGAAGACACAACAGAGTCAAGAGTAAATTAATTGGGGAATTCCTGGAGGAAAACTTCCTTAGCTTAACAAATGAAAACCAGGCAACCATTCAGGAGGCTGAAAGAACACCAGCCAGACAGAATCCCAAGAAGTCACCAAGACATATAATGGTCAAACCATCCAACTTTGAGGAAAAGGGGAAAATCATGAAAGAAACTAGAGGAAAGTAAGCAGTCACATATAAAGGTACCAAATAAGAATATGCTCAGACCTATCAGCGGACATTATGAAGGAGAGTGGAGTAAATATTCCAAAAATTGAAGGAAAACAATGCAAACCCAAAAATACTCTATCCAGCCAAATTATCTATCAAGATAGATGGAGAAGCAAGAGCTTTCCCAGAAAAGAGAAAAACTCAGAGACTATGTTAAACGAAATCCATCCTTACAAAAGATCCTTGCCGACCCAGTATGGGCAGAAGATCAACACTCACCGAGCACAAATAGGAGACCGTCACATAGAACAACTCCACCCAGAGGGCAACAAAGACAAAACAGCCTCCCAAGATATCATTAGCTCAATGTCAGACAGAAGGCAAAAATGAACCACACACACGCACACAACACACACTGATAAAATAGGTAGGTAGGAAAACACCTGACACAAAAGGCACAAGACGACATCACAGAGTGCACAGATGGGAGCAGTAGCACTAAATATCAATGGAGTAACTCCAGCATTAAAAGGCAGAGGCTAGCAGACTGGCTTAGAAAATATAACCCATCGATCTGCTGCCTACAGGAGACACATCTCAAGCTTACAGACAAAAACAGACTGAGAATTAAAGGCTGGAGAAACATAGACCAAGCAAATGGCAATTCAAAAAAGTAGGGGTAGCAATCTTAATCTCTGACAAAATTGATTACAAGGTGCAAGACATAAGAAGAGACAAAGAGGGACACTATATAATGCTCAAGAGAACAGTAGACCAAGAACCAGTGAGCATAGTAAATATATACACACTCAACTAGGGGCTCGCGAAATTCATAAGTCAAACACTCCAAAAGATGGGGAAAAAATCACAGACTCAACAGTTATAGTAGGTGACTTTAATACACCACCCTCTGAGAAAGACAGATCACAGGGAAAGAAACTTAACAATGTTAAGTTGATTTGACCTGATAGATACTTTCAGAGCTCTCCACCCAAATGCAAAAATAAATCACATTCTTTTCAAGCTCACATGGCACACACTCGCAGATAGACCACATGCTGGGACACATGTTGAAGCTGTGTAAATTCAAGCACATAGAGATCATACAGACTTCTCTCTCTGACCACTATGCCATAAGGCTGGAAAACAACAAAAGGATGATTAAGAAAACAAGGACAATTTCTCAGCAAGGGAAACATAGGACTACCCTAAGACATAGAAATTCCACCCATGGGTACAAACCCCAAATAATTGGATGTGTTCAAATAAAACCATGTACAGAAATGCTCATGGCAGTACTGTTATAAGTTAAATGTTGGCATAATCAGAATGGCCATCAATAGATGAATGGATAAACAGAATTTGGTAGATCCAGACAATGGAATACTATTCAGCCATAAAGATAAATACATGTATAGCTCTGATGCATTGGCACATGATATCAGATGGATGAACTCTAAAAACATTCTGCTGAGTGAAAGAAGCCAGACACATAAGGCTAAATGTTATGCAGATTACATATATGAAATGTCCAGAAGGAGTAAATCCATAGAGAATCTTGGTTGCTAAAGGCTGGGGTCGAGGAAAATTAGCTGTGACTGCTAATGGGTATAAGGTTTCCTTTTGTAGTGATAAAATTCTGGAACAAGATCGTGGGGATGGTTGTATACCATTGTGAATGTCCTCAATGTCATTAAATTATGTGTGTTATGCTGGATGTATTTTACCATAATAATAATTTTATAAAACCAAAAAATAAAAATATGAGAGAGTAGTGTTTGTTTCCTAGAGTGGGCCTGTTCCACAGGCTTTCGACTTGAAATACTTATCAATTTTAGTATAAATTTTAGTATAAATCTCTTTCCTTTTATTTCATTGTGAACATTCAGGCTAGGGTATTACAGTTTTTGATATTTGTTTAACCTGCTGCTACGTGATGATTCTAACTCACAGCAACCTCATGTATTATTTAATTGAAATGCTCCATACTGTTGTTGTTGTTTAAGGGGGTGGATTATGATTTGTTAAAGTCAGTTTCTCTAGTCTACTCGGACTAAATAAAAAATGCAAATTAAAACAGCTATGAGATACCACCTATCACCCTTAATTAAAACAATTCAAAATATGCCCAATTCAAAAAATCAGAAAGTAACAAGTGTTGGAGTGGCTGTTGTTAGATAGGAACTCTCGTCCACTACTGGTTGACCTGTAGGTATGTACAGCCACTGTGGAAATCTATTTGGCGATATCGAAAACAGATGAAAATTGAGCTACCATATTACCCGGAAATCCCCCTCCTGGGAATATACCCAGAAGAGGCAAGAAACAAACCACGGCCAGACATCTGAGTTCCAATGTTCATCGCAGCACAGTTCACAATTGCAAGGGGTTGAAACAACCCAAATTTCCATCAGCAGATGATTGGATTAAAAAACTCTGGTATATACATGTAATGGAGTACTACATAGTTATAAAAAGCAGTGAGGAACACATGAAGCACATTGCTGCATGGGAAGAACTGGAGGAAGTTATGCTAAGCGAAGTAAGGGAAGCACAAAAGGACAAGTACAGCACAAGTCTGCTGAGGTAAGCTTAAAAATGCAAAAGGGGCACAGGGGAAAAGCTATTGTATACATACATTCCTGGGGTGATGTCCAGGTAGTATGGCAGGGACCAGACCCAATTCAGGGATATATATGGTAGCCAACTGAAAAGGAGGAGAAATGAAACAAACAAACAAACAAACAAAAAAGACATGGGTAGCCGGGGAGTGGGGGTGGGGGAAAGGACACTAACCCACCCATGGGTTATATTTATATTTCCATAGGAGAGGTAGAAAGGGACCAGACGTCAACCTAGTGGGTCAAGATGAAAATGCAACATACCAGCATGAAGCAAGGAACAAATAGAGAGGTCTGAGGGCCCTGCCCCAATCTGAACTATGTGGACAGCACTACCCCCTGCCCAACCCCTCCCTG